GTCTAAGAAGATTGCATGGTTATGTGCTTTATTATATACACCTGTTAGCAATGGGTGTGGCTGAAACACCTGAACCCAGTAATTAGGAGGGGTATCCACATACTTTTGGCTAATATATACATATACGTACGTGTGCGTGTGTGTGTTTGTGTGTGTGTGTGTGTGTGTGTGTGTGTGTGTGTGTGTGTGCAACCTTTTTTTCCATCTTCATGTATTCATGTGAGCTTCTCCTCATGTTTCACACGCTTGGCTGTTCATCATAAACATTATGCCTTCGTGAGCATGCACAGGCTGATTAATCACAGCTTCAGTATGTAAACCTGGATTAACAGAAAACAAAGTTGTTAACCATCCTTGTAAAAGGAGTTAAGGTGGTTGCATTTGTTAGGCTTCGTGAAGCTGAAACTTAGCTTAACTGAGATCAAAAACCTGCAAAGCTGGTCTTTAATCAGTTGGACAGCTTCCATTAACATATGGCAGATGCTTTCACCATGGAGGTCTAAGCATGGCCCAAGGCCAAAGCGTCACCAATGAATGATATACAGTGTGTCATTAACATGTACCATGGCACACCCTCTATTAAACGCTATCTTGGTTTGTTCTGTATGGTAGCTGAAGCACAGGCCAGATCCTGATGTTTCAATTAGAAAGACTTTGGAAAAGCATCAATCTTCGTAGCTGTTTTATGTCTATTATAAACACTTTTACTGCTTTGAGAGGATGTATATTATCAGCGACTATAAAAGACAAAGGGCACAAATGCAGCTCTGTTTTCTCATGGAGAGCTTCAACCACTTGCCTTTTTGAGATGAGATCTGTAGTGGAACTCAGAAGTGCATTTTATGAGTTAAGTGTTAGGTTGTAGATATCATAGAATGCAGTGTTAATGATATGTTTTTTGATATGTTGCCTATTAGTGTTTCATTTATGTCTAGATAAGTATCTCACTCGTGACTAACTATACACTATACAACACTGCCATTGTCAGAAACCACGCTTTCATTTATTTAATTTATTTCATCCAGCCAAAACGGCCATTTACTACAAGTTATTAATTTCCAACATCAAGAGAAATCAGAAAACATACACTTAACAGAAAATTACACTGAAGTCACAACAGCTCAATATAATATCATTTAGTATGTCCATACCTTATCTTTACCACAGCTTCCGTTCTATTCAGGAGACTTGCTTTCGGTTTTTCAAAGAAATCTTTTTTGCACACCTCCAAAGTTCAGTCTTAGACGTTGGTTGCATTTTCTGCTTCTCATGATCTAAGTAAACCTTACCCCATATGTCCATTTTTGGCATTGTAGTGCAAACTTTCTTCATCTTACGTCTAATCTCCTGCCATTTTATATGTCTACAGACTTCCCCATTTATCAGCCATTTTCTAACAACATGACCAGATATTATATCACTGCTCTCGGAACAAAACCTCCTATCTCCATTTTTGCATTTTTCAGTTTGTGACATATTTTGAAAATGCCTATTGTCCTGTACATTGTGTGTGAATTTCATGATGAATGGACCAAAAATGAATGACCCAGAATGACTTGTAAAGACGTCTGGTTCCATTGGTTCCAAAAAAGGTATGTCTTACCCTTCTCCTGTGAAGTTGCCATTTTGGAGATACGAGGTTTTGTCCGGCAGCAACAATATGACAAGTAGGCCATTCTTGACACTTTCATGGTGGAGAGTGGTCCACCAGCCAAAAATCCCACCAAGAGCAGTTCTGTGGTCAAAAACTAACCATGGATGAAGGAGTTGAGGATGGTTAAGACAAATTATGCTAGAAACACATGGGCTACAGTATGGACGTTTCTAATAAAGTGGCCAGCAAATAGTCCAGTGTATTAGTTAGTATTCTGCACGACGTTTGTTGTAGAGGTTTGGTTTGATTTAAAGGTTGAGGTCAGAGGAAGGGGACAGAAAGAGCTTGTTGGGGCAGTCCATTTCCCAAAACATTGACATAAACATAAAAATTCCTTCAAATCCATTTGACTCCGGAAATGTCTCCTATGCAGATTATTAGAGAGAAGGCGGGAGACAGATGCAGAAAGAGAGGAGGGAGGAGGAAAGATGATGAGGCTGTAGAAGGATAGAGGGAGCGAGAGAGTGTGTGCATGCAAGTCACAGTGTTTTTGAGGCGGTGATTTAGTGGATAATGAATTCCGTGATGATGCCTCCTGCTGCCGCGCCACCTGTTTAGCTATGCGACGCTTCGTGACTTTAACCACGATGCACGGCTGGCTCTCCACCACCTTGTGTGTTTAGCATTCAGCACACTGTAGGGCATTGTCCTGAGCAAACTCATTAGTTTATGCTGCTTTTACCAGTCGACCTTAGCCATATTGCTTACTCATAAGGATCTCTTGAACTTGTCATGAAGGATGAGCTAGCATTCTCTTCCATTGCACAGATCTTGGCTCAGCTTCTTTTGTCCTAGTGTGAGAAACAACAAAATTAGATCTTGCATCAGTGACTTCTGTCAACACCAAGCTACGCAGATTTATCAGGTCTATAAACGCAGGTCTACATTAACTCATTAACTCCTTTTTCCCAGTACATCTGTTGATACACAGTTTGTGTCAGCCTTTTTCAGCCCTTCATGATCAGTATTTGACCACAGAGTTGCTCTTGAATGGAAGCCCCTCACCTGAATGGCTAAGCCAGGCTCATTTCAGTAATCCCTCATCATAGTTAGTTACAGTCTGAGTTAGAGTTAGTCCAGGTTGTTATCGAGGGAGTGAACTTCAGAGAGATGTATAGAAGGAACTGGCAGTCTTTTGGGGTAGTGAAAGCCTTTAGACTTGGTTTAGCCTTTAGTAAATTAGTCCACTAGATGGGCCTGTGTATCCACTAGCTCATCTTTCAGTCAGCTTCATCACACGGCAGCGGGGTCTCGCAGCCTTTTGCTTCAACGGTCCCGAGAAATCTGCGACTCAACTGCCACTACTGTTATTGAGCTTGACTGTAATATTCACTGAACTCCAGCAGAGACTGAGCTCGGAGCACGAGTGAATGGGACGCACATGTAAGACAAATGATTTGAGAAATTTGGGTTAAATACAACATGCAGCACAGTTTTTACCAAGCCAGAGAAGCTGTGTGCTTACATGTGTAGACCACAGGTTCATCTGCATATCATTTTATATATATATATATATATATATATATATATATATATATATATATATATATATATACATATATAATCCAACAAGTAAAAGCCATTCATTCACTTGATATGTCACCAAAATAAAATATTTAAAAACTGGAACTGTATTAATATCAGTTTTTTAAAGCTAGTTAGGTTAGATAGAGTTATCTGTATTATCCTGTATGTAAGGGGATATTTAATGTAATCCTGCTGTCACTCTCTTCTTTAGAATCTGACCACATGGGCTTATCCAATGTGTCCATTTTCATTATATTTCACTTATCATTTTTGAAAAAAAAAAAAATGGAATGTGTCTTAAATCTTACTAATTAATGGGACACACTAACAGAGGGACACCCAGAGCCCACAGCCCAAGGGAGACATTTTCCATGGACAAAAAAACAGCACCTGACCACTCTGGGCAGTGACAGTGATTAAGCGATGTGGTTGCGTTTTCTCCATTGTGAAAAATGAGTCCATTAGTGGAGCAACTTCTGGCCTCTGTCCCAGAGAGATGGAGATGATAGCACCTCTCTCTCCCTCGCTCTTTTCCTCTGCCCCTATCTGCACAGTGGACGATATTTCCACTATGTCTCTATCAGAACCCACTATTCTCTGAAATACAGAGACAACACATTTGCAGAGAGGCTTTTGGTGTGTTTGTGTGTGTTTTGTTTGGGTGGATATATGTATCTATGCATACTCAGATGAGTGAACCTCAAACATCAGGGTCATTCGGCAATGTTAGCAGCATGTGAATCTGCCATTTTGATGTTAACATCAGCCTTATCCTTTTATCGATGTTGAAGATAAACCTTAAACCTCACCGCTGATACTTGCACAGCAGACCAAGGTTGCTGTAAGCATTAATGATGAAATATGTCACTTCCCTGTCATCAAAAATATTTCACTCCTTTGCAAAAAAAAAGTCTTTCTGTCCACAGTGATAACCATCAAGCTTCATCAACGTAGCCGAGCAGAAAGGCCACGAGAGGTTAATTATTAATATCTAGCTCAGAGTGAATGTCTTGAGTGGTGAAATGATCCGCTTATCAGTTCACTAAGGGGATATGACATTTAGAGCCGCTGTCTGTATCTGCAAACTGATCTTGGATCAGATCTCGATGAATTGCTGGCTGTGGGTTTATGGACCACTTGGTGACCAATTGGGTGTGACTTATTGCAGAGTTTTAATACTGTCAGATCAGAAGTTCCACTTTGTCTTAAGAGCATCATGGTGGCTTCTCGCTTCTTTAAAGCTTTTGTTTAAGTTTTTCTCATGAAGCTAGTTCTCATCTGCCATCTTGGTACTATTTTTGATCGTCCTTGGCAGGTAGGGTGGCAAATGACTTCTATTACAGTTAGTGTAATAGATAGTGTATAAACACACTCAGTGTTTATTGAATGACACATTGAGTTGAGTTTAATCTGGGGATAACCATAAAGCCCTTAATGGTGGGTTTAAAACGGCTGATAACTGAATAAGGGTTTTAATCAGCATAATAGGCCTAAAATTTTGAACAGAACGTAATTACAGCCTGTAAATATTCTGCAGTCCAACTTAAACCACAGCACCAAGTTTTGAATCTGAACCCAACTGTAGACCAATAGAATTCTACCTGAACCCAACTGTAGCTCAACAAAATTCTGCCCTAATTCGACTGTAGCCCAACAAAACTGCCCAATCCTCTCTGTAGCCTGACAAAATCTACTTGAATCCTACAAATTCCATCTTAACCCACCTGTTGAATACAAAAGTGATGAATGCTCATCTAGATTTTGTCCAAACTCAACATCACTGACTCTTTTCGTCCTCTTTTTCCAGAGTGCTGTGGACATGTACGACGGGGCGAGGGTTCCCTCCCCTGGGGATGCCGCTAACGGAGTCCCCCTGCAGCCTGCCATGCGCCCCAACGCTGACGATGAGCCTGAGGAAGAGGAGGGTGTGCAACAACCGGAGCCTGTGCTGGTGAAGAAGGCTCACCGCGAGATCCTGGACCATGAGAGAAAGAGACGAGTGGAGCTGAAATGCATGGAGCTGCAGGAGATGATGGAGGAGCAGGGGTGAGCCAGACTGTTTGTGTGTGTCCTTGTGTGTACACCATTGTCCAAAAGTTTGGAATCATTTGTCATATTGGTCATTTTTGGTATTTTAATCAATGACACTATGTACAGTATTGATTGAAATAAGAACTGTACAGAAGAAGAAAATAGCTGTTTTGCTATTACAGCTCTGCTTATAACTCTGGACACATTTAAAATTTCTTCGTTTCTTTCAGCTTTATTCAAACTATTTAAAATATGAGGGAGTGGAAATATATGTGGAGCCCTAACATTGTGCTCGAATCATTTTATATAGTATGTGTATCTGCAGCAAAGTTGGTTTTAGAATATTGATTAATTCCAACATTAATTGCAACTTTTTGAACAGTGATTCCAAACTTCTGAATAACAGTATTTCAGCTGGCACATAGTGAGGATTGTGAATAACGTCTGCTTTTGGTTCTTATTTTGCTTGTTTGTTTGCTGCAGTGGCATAAAATGCACAGTGTTACTCCTGACAAGGGAGCCCAAAGACACAGCATGTGCTCTTTCACTCAGCATGTTCTTTAAACTGCTAACAAGTTTGGCAGGTCAACATTAAAGATATCGTAGCTGTTGGAACAAAGCCTGGCATCTCCATTTTAGCATTTTTCAGTTTTTGACATTTGAAAATGCCTGTTGCCCTTTACATTATGTGTAAATGTTATGATAAATTGACTAAAGGAAATGTCCCAGAATGACTTGGAAAAAAGTCTGGTTCCATTGACTTACATTAAAGGAAAAGCAGGTTCTTTTCTTCTCTTGTAAAGTTCGAGGTTCAGGGTTTTGTTCCAACACCAGCAATATATTAATAATAAGATAAAGGGCTTTTAATGCAATATTATGGTTAGAAATGTGTCATTACTGGGGTTTGTAATGTTGGTTACTTTGCAAATGATGAGGTTCTGGAGCATCGAGTAGTGATGGATCTAGAAGATCCTGGTAGGTCTTGAAACACAAAAAAGTGTGTCTTACACACAGGTAGCATTACACACAGAGCTCAGTGGTAACTATGTTGACAAGGTTCTTATGCAAGGAACGTTTTCTTTACAAAATTTTCTCAAACGCGCTTTAGTAGTACTTGACAAACAGTTTCTTGGCTAAAGTATGAGTTATAAATTGGTGTCACAAGCCAGTTGTATCAGACATTGTTACTAAGCTCTTTTGATGGATCAACAATTTATGTGATTGTTTTATTAATTTAATGTTTATTTATTATCCACAGATACATAGACAGATTCATAGAAATTACAAGGAACAGTCCGATGCTATATATTTATGTATTCACGCCCAAACACAAGCTATTTTCCGAGAAGTTGAAGGTGGGCTTGACTCTGTGTGCACCCATCCCTGCCATGGCATGGGATTAATTGAAAATCGCACAAGGTTTTAAGCCAATTCCCAGCATTTGGTTTAAGGGATATCTGGGTGTCATACATATACAAGTTTGTGGAGACCTGGTCATTTGTGTTAATAGTGAGGGTTTGATTGCATTCGGCCACAAGGGCATTAGTGAGGTCAGGTTCTGATGTTGGATGATCAGTTGTCGATCACTTAAGCTCATCCAAAAGGTACTGGATGGAGCTCCATCACTCCAGAGAATGCAGTTCAACTGCTCCACAGGCCAATGCTGGAGGGCTTTGTACCCCTTTAGCCAACGTTGGCATTGGGTGTGGTGATCACAGGCTCGTCTGGATATTTGTGGACATATGACCTTCATAACTTTATAACCTTGGAATTCATTATTGGGCTGGCCAGCATTTTAAAGGCTTTAAGTACTTGTTGATGAATACTTGAATACTTATTTTCAGAATCACCCTTCAAAGAAATAATATTTCAAGTGTTTTTTAAGTCGTCTGTCACACACACTGCATGTGTGTCTTACATCCATCAGAAAATTACATTCCCACTTTTTATAGCAGGGATAAAAATCTTATCCACATACGGCTGTTATGGCTGCAGGTTTTCATACCAACCAAGCAGGAGCTCACGTCATCAGTTTTTTGAAGACTGAGTCCAACAGATTATAGTATAATTCCTCCCATTTTTCATAACTACTACATAATATGTAAACAAAGTCATTCAAAGTGGTTTGATATGAAATACTCCATTCAAGAGAAACTTACTGTTTACAGTGGTGGTGATGGGAACCAGACGTCTGAAGGCTTTAATGCCTCTAAAAGCTCGAGAAGGGTCTGGCTGCAGACATGCATTATCAGCCTGACATGCACCGCCAGCCTATTAATGACGTCAGTGCACGCTCTGCCACGAGAGTGTTTTTGTCAGTTTTATGAGGGAAAACAGGGAAACGTACTGTTGGGCAACAGGAGTTACACTGAACATATATTAGCGTTGTCATACTGAAAATAAGGTAATTAAATGTGGAAACTTTCAAAATAAAACCAGGACAATAAGACATGAATATCGGGATAGTCGCAGGAAAAACAAACAGGCTACTGCTGAAACTCATGAAAGCCATGCTGAAGACCATTAGAACCATTAGGAATAAAACCTGATGATATTGCTTCCTAACCAGAGTTTGCTTAATGGTTGCCGTTAGAGACCATTAAAAAAAACAAACAAATGTCTGGAATCAGTCCCAAAAACACCTGAGTAAATGATTTGAATCCTTTATACTGTGATATCAGCCTCTCAGGAAAACACAGAATAGCATTAGCGACTACTGAAAACGACCAGGAACCAACAGCTGCTATTAACTCAGTCTGAATTGACAGGGCTAAACTGCTGCAGGTTAAATGAATGTATGCAAATGTGCTAGTTTTTGTGACATCACAGAAACGTATTCAAATTATTCAGGCCCGCCTTAATATATACAGATTACTGCATACATTTATTTCATATCTGAGTTGCTAGATCTGTTAAAATAGGTGTCGGTACCAAACTGGAAGCTTATCCAGGCGCGAATGAAGCTCAGCTCATGTGAAAGAAGATATTGTTGCTCAGGATTGAGGTGCAGCCTTTAATTACGTGAGTTAGTTTCTAATGCGTGTCTATATGGAAGGCACAGAGGTTATTATCCATTATGAAATATAATAGCAAGGGGAAAGTGCGAAGTTGTATGCTCTCTGTCTCACGCTTTCACTCTCCCTTTATTAACATGCCATTAGCCTCAGTGGAATGGCAGCGTGTGTGCAGAGGCGTTTGTTAGGCTTCTAATCCCTGTCACTGCAGAGCCTGCCATTCAGTCAGCCGCCACACATGTCCCTGCAGGCCCCATGCTGGACGCCTCAAGGGCTTTTCACAGGAGCCTGGCGCCAAGGAGTGACTAATTAAGTGGGAGGGCCGTGACCTTGTGCTCAGTGTGTACACCTGATCTTATAAGCAAAATGCTGAAATTTTGAGGTGACTGAAATACTGAGGATCATACACTAAACCACTACACACTGCACAACTTTTTAGTTGTGGAACCGAACCGAACTTTGCTGGAGACGCAGATAAACAAACTTGACGCTGCTTGCTGCTGTTTGCACTACTGTTTGCGCTGACACAGTACAGAGGTGGCAGGTAAAGAAATTTAAGTGACGGTTGTGAACGTAAAGATGTGATTTGTGTGGAATTTTTTTTAGATGTAGATGGACTTGATTGTGCTCCTGCCTCAAGCTCAGTTCATTAAAACAATTCACTACATACACAAACGTCTTTTCAACATTTTTCTTTACTTACTTTCTGTATTTTCTTCTTTCACGTGCTCAGTTTTCGTTGGCTGTTGGAGGAATCGATTCCAAATGAGTGGCTAACCTGTATACACTTCTAGAAAGTGCTCAGAGTCAGGTTGAAAAAATCACGGTGGATGTGAAATGGGTGAACGGTTATAAATCTAATCTGTACACCAGCAAGGTGTTTCTGAAATGGTGGCTGCTGAGTATCTTTCTGTATTTCGTCTTTTAGTAATCCACATAATCCGTCCAAACCCCCCTTCTTACCACAGCAGATGGTATGTTCCTCGTTAGAACTGCTGATGTACTGGCCGTCAGATTGATGACCATGATATGAAGCTGAATGTTAAAGAGGAGAGAGCGACCATCTGCCAGGGGTGCTAAACACCTCACAAAGCTCAGCCCTCTTCTGTATCAGCCTAATTGCTCCCTGTTTTGAATAAAGGGAGAGTGCTAAGAGGTGAACAGTAAGGGTTTAAATCTCGCATCTCAGAAACATTGGTTTCAGCTGCAGGTCTTCAGGAAACAATTCCCTGTATCATGAAATCTCATCAGTTTCACCACAAATCGATTTTGGTACGATTCAGAGTTATGGTTAAAAATACACTGTAGACACAAAGGTGCCAGTTATTGATGAAAACAATACACATTTTTAATTTTTACCTTTGAAAATAGCCTAAGACTTTTATTTTGGACAAATAATGAGTTCATTTATATTGAAGAAGATAACATGGTGTCAGTGAGGGTCTCTGAGCTATCTTAGTGTTACCTCTCAATGACAGCCGGGGTTGTGGGAAAGGGCAGTGAATCATGGTATCATTGGTTAAGCCTTTACACACTTCTATAACCTAAGAATAGCTTAACCCGTTAGCATTGAAGTCACTGTAGTTACTGACTAATAAGCCTCAGTGTGTAATAAGACTGGGATATTAAGGGTTTAATATTATTTGTCTCAGCCTGCTGGTGCACAGTGATGTAATCAAAAATTAGAGGATTTTTTTAGACATTTTGATAAAAGATTACAGGAAAATGAAACTTTTGCCTTTTAAACTGAGTGATATGTTGAATCGTGATTAATATAGCAAGCTTTTAGGGTTCTGCCAATATCGATACCCTATTGGCATTGGCGCCAATACTATCACTTAAAAACACAGTGTCAGATATAGAGAATAGTGATATCGTCAAGCAGTGTCCGACAGGCATGTGCACCAGTACATAGACCTGAATTAAAGCAAGAACATTTGGTCTCTTGGGATAATGACAGATTTAGCCTTTTTTTCTATATATTGAAAAAATTTCAACTTA